AGAAGACTGAGGAGGTGATGCAAAACAGAATCCATTCTGTGGATAAGGAAGACTTCCTATATCTCTATCCTACAGTCCATCAACATGCTTTACCATCAAATATTCGAAGCGGATTTGCAGCAACTGGCCTAGTTCCATTATCACCAGAAAGAGTGCTTTCAAAGCTTCATATCCAGCTAAAGACACCAACACCACCGGTGATCTACAGCACATAGCAATCAATCTTTTAATGGCCCAGGCAAGACACCAGCTAATATGCATCAACTGGAGCAGCAAAAGAAACAAATTCAACATCTCTGAAGTCATCAAACAGTATCTCCATCTATGGTGGTACAGGCAGTTGATAAGGTGATTAAAGGTGCAGAGATCAATGCAGAACACCATCCTATTATAGCAAGAAGTTAATTAGCTTTGTGCATCAAATCAAAGTCAAAAAAGGAAGCAAGAGGCAGATACTTTATAGCAACTGGTGGCAGTTTAACAGGTGCTGAAGGCCAGCAAAGAGGTCATAAACATGAGATGATGGAGGAGCAGCAATCTTCTCGGCCACGCAGGCGAATTCGGTGCAGTAATTGCAGTCAAGAGGGACATAATTGCCTTAGATGTCCTAATAAATAGAATTAGCTTTAATATATCCAAATGTTGTTGCTAAAAGCCTCAAGATTTATGGTCGCGTTGGTGGTTGAATATACATAAATTTTTGGGGAGACCGCGCAGCTCGGTGTCCGATTACGTTAATAACTTTTAAAGTAAAGATAGATTAAAAAGTAGCTAAAAAAGACTAATTTAAGACTTATAAAAAGGCTTTTAATTATTAAGGTATATTTAAGATTAAATAAATTAAAATATTTTTTTAAATGTTATAAAAATGTATAACTAGAATCTATATTTATTTAATAGCCTAATATATTAGTATTAATAAGGTTATTAAATATATAATTGTTATATTTATTATAATAATAGAGGTAATTATTTTTAAAACCTAAATGATTATATGCTTATAAATAATAATTAAGAGACTTTTAAATAATTATATTCTAAGTGAAGTTATAAAATAATTAAAATAATTAATTAGCTATATTAATAATAAAAAGTTATTTAAATATAAAAAAGTGTCTAAAGGTTAATAAAAAAGGTTAAAATTAAATATTATTTTAGCTTATATTTATACTTACCTTTATTAATAAAGATAATAATAAAATTAAGTATTAAATAAAAAATATACTTTTTACTAAATATTTTCCACTTTTTTTAATATTAACCTTAAGAATATTAAAAGCTACTATTAGTATATTTAAACCTAAGCGTTATTTATAAGGGGTATTATTTTTTTTATAAAATACTAAGACTTACTAAGATATTAAACCTACTTCGTATTAAAATGCCTTTAAAAATTTAGGAAATTTTACCCTAACTTTACCCTTAAAAAGTAGTAATTAAGAACTAACTAGCTAATAAAAAGTATTATCTCTTTTTTAATAATTATATAAGCAGTTAGAGAGCTTATATGTCTAAATATACGATTTATATCTTATTAAAATATATATTATTTAAAGATTAATATATTTAATAATATTTTTATTAACTTTAAATATTTTAAAAGTTTTAATAATATTTCTTATACTTAATTATTATATAATTTAAAAAATTATTATATAATTTAAAAAATTATTATATAATTTAAAAAATTATTATATAATTTAAAAAATTATTATATAATTTAAAAAAAGATCTCCTTAATTATAAATTAATAACTCCTTTTATAGATATATAATAATTATACCGTTTTAAAGAAGAATGTAAATAAAATCTATTAGTAGAAATATCTAGTTTTTTATTAATCATTATTTTTTTATAATATTAATTTTATTAAAAAATTACTATAATATTATTAAAAAATAAGACTTCTAATATACCTCTTACTTTATTTTATCTAAATATAGACATATTGATATATTTAACCTTAATAATAGCTTTAAAGCTATATAGATTAACCTAATATTATTTATATATATATTTAAGATATTTAGGTTAATATTAAATTAATAATTAGATATTTAAAAGTCTAATTAGATTAAATACTCTTAAATGTTAAATATAGTTATTATTTAAAGTTAATATAGTTAATTAAATTATTATACTATCCTTTATTACAGTGTTTAATTAAAGTGTATACATAATTTATTTTAAAAAGATATATATATTTACATAGTATATCTAAATGAAATATAATTTTAAAAAGGTAAAAAAGAGTTAATTCAATATTCTGCCTTTAAAATAATAAATATACTTTTATATCTTAAGAACTTTTTAAAGTTATTTATATATATTTTTTTTGAATTTTCTTTTTAAAAAAGGTAATTAAAGATTTATACCTTTATATATTTATAATATAAAGCTAATTATAGCTATATTATAAATATTATAAAAGATTTATACCATTTTTACGAGATTAAAATATTCATCAAAGTCTTTACTTTTAGGTATCTTAAATAATCTTAAATTCATTAAACCTTTTATAGCCCTCCTTTAATAAGAGTTATTTAATACAAATATTTTAAAAAATAATGAATAAACTTAAGTATAAATATTATATATATCTAAATACTTAGAGCTTGATATTCTTATTATTAACATAAGAATAGGGTAAATAAAATATAAGGGCTATAGCTACCTTATATTAAAAAATAAATATATTATAATTTAAATAAAATATTAATTATTTACATTATTAAGCTTAAAGGTATTAATATAATTTTATATTAAATAATCTAGGTTATTATTTGAAAGTTTTATAATTAATTAAAAGACCTTTTATATAATCTTTATAAATAATTAATTATAAAAGTTTATTATAGGCTTAATTATAATTTAAACTAAT